TGATGCACTTACTATGCTCTTGGGCTTGTTTTTGGACCAGGCACTTCCCCTGTGGAACAGGCCAGGCCACGAACAATCTCCTTCAGGACTTGTGCAAGACCATCAGCATTGAAAAACCTGTTTACTTAAGAAACACGAAACCAAAAATAAAAACCTGTGTAATGGCCCCTTCACCACCACTCCCGCTACAGAAAGTAGAAATAACCTATGAAAAGCTGCTCCAGAAATAATACTGCCATGGATGGATCAAGATGAAAGGCAAGAGAAATGTCAAAACAAGCAAAATGCAAACCTCTCGTTTAATACAAAGAGTGGCAACGAACAGTACCTATGAGTGTAGAGCAAGACTTTCACAGAAATTATATGAACAGAAAAGCAGGGAGTGTAAATAGAATATTTAAGCGCATTAACAGTCAGCAAAAAAGAGCCACCCTCCACGGGTACGTACTTGCGAGCAAAAAATGCTGTTTGGTACCCGCCGCTCCCAGCCTGCTTCCCAAGTTAACAGCACGTTGTCGGTTCAGGGAAAGCATCCCGCAAACAAGCCAGGCTTCCAATCAGTCACGAAGGGCCAGATGGCGAGTGGACTTCATCTGGTAAAACAACATGATGGAAAGAGCAAAAGAAAAGTGTGAAGCGAGAATGCAATGGCCCCTGGTGCACTGGCAGGTCCATCAATAGATTAGGCTAAATTCACTGCTACCTTTGTGCTACCCTAATGATGCGCAGCAGCTGGACAGCAAGGCTAGCTCTTCTCTTTAATGACCAAGAACAGAAAGAGTAATTAAAAAAAAAATAAAGGAAATTAAATTAAATAAAGCATTTTTCTGAGATGTTAGCTTTTGCATATTTTTGAGAACACAACAAAAAGCAATTGAAAATTAATTAAAACTACCATAATTTTTTCAGGGTTCTGTTCAGATTATCTTTTCCCATTTTAATGCCTAAACTATTGAGGTTTTGCCTAGCTATCACATTTAATAATTTGACTTTTTTATGACTGTGTCAAGAAATGGAAAATTCTGAATGCGCACCAGCTTGAATAATTCAAAGGGTCACTTTGCTGGTGAAAAAGCCTCGACAAGAAGTTTGGGCAGTCTGTGCGAACTTGAACTTCAATTGCAATTCAGTTTATTCAAGCAGGATTCCAAAGTACCAAGCAAAATTGCCACCGGTATAAACGCCAAACTGCAAATTGCTTGTGATCATACACGTAGTAAAAGAGGAGTGCGTGGGAGATGAAGTACCAATGTTTATTGGTCAGTGTCTCTGCTAAAGCAATTATGGAATGTAACATGTTCTGCAATGAAGCAATCTGATGTGGATCACACAGCATTTGAAGAATCCCATGTTACACATTGTTGAGCGTGTATGATAACAGCGTATTAAAGGAAGTGAGAAGGGAGCAAAGCACAAACCTTCAAGCCGCAGCGGGTTTACTTGTCTGACAGCACGCTGAGGACAATTCCTGCATGAGATGTTCACCCCGAGACTCTCCAGAAGACAGAGGAGTGCTCCTTTGTGGCACCATCTCATGGGGACCCATTCTCCTCCACACACAAACGTCTCACCGGACCTTCTCTTCTGAAGAAGTTAACCCAGAGCTCTGCAACAGCCCCATCAGAACGACAGCACCAAGGCTCTCTCTTTTGTTACCTTCATAACTTCTTACTAAATTTCCTCGGTTGCTTCTTGCTCAGTTTACAGCATAAGGACCTCTCTTCCTCTATCTGCCAAGCCATCAGTCTCAGCCCTGGCTCTGACAGTCAACCTGGACTCTTTCCAAAGAGGAACAGTCAAAGGCAATAAACCTCCTGCAATCGCAATCCCTTCGCAATGATGCACAAGCCATAAAGGAGTTTGCTTTCCCTCCCCTCACCCTTTTGAAACAGAGCAGTCAGCAGGAATACATGCTAGTTAAAGTCATTGTTTTTTCTGACATAAGCAGATATGACTTGGATATTTTGAGCAAAAATGTTTCATTCTTATGGGGCATTGTTCTAACCATAGCGGTAATTACTCCGCTCAGTGTTCTGGAGCAGGAATTTCTAAAGAAGCTAATGGGCTTGGTGGTGGGAGCTCTTGGGTAAGATTTGTGGCTCATGTTAGGCAAACTGCTGGTTTAGAGGATCATAACATACCCCTCTGGCCTTACGAGTTCACGGATTCACTAAATTAAAAACATCTCTCTGTACAGACAGTATTTCCTCCTCAAATGGGCTGGATGCTCTCTATCTCCACACAGAAGAGAAGCACAGACACTGCTAGAACTGGCGACTGTGAGCGGAAAGTCCCCAGGACTATTACCACCAGCCGTAAGTGTATAATGGGATGGAAAAAAAAAAAAAAAAAAAAAAAAAAAAGCCAAAGAAACTGGGGGCATTGGCAGTGAGGAAGACGTAGTGGAAAAAAAAAGGAGCTGGTAACCTCAAACTCAAGCTGCTTTACCTCCCAGGTGAGCTGGAAGGTGAAGCGGCCTCAAACACGAGGCAACACTGAAAATACTTCCCCCTTCAAACCGTAGCTCCTCGCATCCCTCAAGCACTGCGTAAATATTGGCTAACCTCCGAAAACGGGTTGGAAGGACCACGATGTGGATTCTGCAGAGGGCACACCCACATCTTGCAAATAGCAGGGAAGTTTGCTCGCTCGGCTTCCGGCGCAGGAATGTATAAAACCGAGGAGGCAGAAAACAGGAAAGGCGGCCGCTGGCCTCTCCCGGCGCTGGGGGAGGACGGCAGCAGGTTCACGAGGGCTCCTCACAAAGAGCCCCTGTCTGCGGGGACCCGGCCACTGCCGTTTGGCTCGCGTCCTGAATAGAGGGCACTTTTTCAGCAGGTTTCTCGGGGAACCTGAGGCATTTTCGCTGCGTAGCACGTTTATTTCTAAAACCACCCCATCCTACATCCCGAGAGGTGCGTCTGATGGCTGCTGAGAGAAGTCCCAGCTGAGCGCTGTGCCGTGTTCCACATGTTCCCCAGCTTGCTAAGTGGTGCCCACCTCCTGCTTTTTAAGATGATGTGCCTTTAGTGATGAGGAACCAGGAGAGCCGCCTTGTGATCTGCTCCCTGGATGACACCCTTTGGGCCAGGAGACCTCTGCGTGGCAACCCCAAAGGGCCATTTTGGGAAGGGAAGGACAGCGTGGTAATGTTTACCTAAAATTGCTGCATGGGTAGGTTGTGGTCCAGCTCACACAGGAAACCAAGAATATCTGCTGAGAACACACCTAAACAGATATCTTTAAAAAAAAATGCCTTCACGTATCCTACAATACTTGTGCTACCGCTGTTTGTGAAATGAGAGTGGTCTGCCTGTACCATCGGTCGGCAGAGTCTTCTGCCAGGTGTGACTCTACGCCTGCCCAGGAAGCAAGAGGGAATCTGCACCCTGAAGACATTTGCTGCGTCGTCTTCTCTCGACCGCAAAGCTACGGACCTTTCCTGCCGAGCAGCCCACCTGCCCCCACGGACGTCAGAAAATGATTTCAGGAGACCAAACCTACCGCGGCATCTCGTCGTTCGTCAGCCTGAGCATGGAAGGACCCTTCCCGCGCAGCGAGCCAGGCTGCAACCTCCTCTCTGCCCCTCCGCACCCGCCATGGCCAACTGGTGGGCGCTGGAGGGCTGCCCCGTCACAGACATGGGAGGAAAATGACTTATTTTGGCCCAGCTGGGGGAAAGGAAGGGTTTTCCATGGGCACAAAGACTCTTGCCCCTCTTCTTGAAGCTGACACCTGCCTGCGGTCCCTGTTGCCCTAAGGGGCCTCAAGCTGTGACCTCTCCAGCCCTGATGGCACCTGGGCAGTGTCCGCGCAGCCAGCACCACCCTAGGAATTAAAATTAATTTTATTCCCTCTAGGGAGTAAAACCATCCAAGTTATCTTTGCTCAAGGGTTCCCGAAAGCCAGAACTGTAGGTACACGGAGAGCCAGGGTGTCCCTAAACACGCCGAGAGTGATAAAGGTCCATCTTTTCCCTTGTTGCTGGCAGATGAGAAGCTCACTGTGGTAACAAGCCGCCGACGCGCACATCAAAATTACGATGATGTTCTGAGTCCAGTTTTAGCACCGTGTCGATTATGCTCCCCCTCCCCTTCCTTTCATACTCCTCCATCCCAAAACAACAAAAGGCAGCGATTGCAGTGACCTGCAGAAAATGTAAAGCACAAGCCAGCTGATCCCTGGCAACACAATAGCGAGATTAGTTCATCTGCAGTGAACAAACACGTATTATGTGGGTTTTAAAGTTAGGAGAGGAAAATGCTGTGGTTTTCATGTATTTCTATTCAGCAAGGCTGCAACTTATTACTTCCATGCAGCTGAGAAGCCCTGTTTTTAAAAATAGCCTTCAGCTTGTTTTGAAATCTGCACCTCGCTTTGTTTTGCAGCAGCGTAATACAAAAATCCCCGAGCCAGAAACGATCCCGTTTTCCTCCACACGCACCGCCTCCCCCGCCCCAAACCCCCGCGCCCCACGGATGCTAAAAATCCTCCCGGCGACACCCGGCGGGAAAAATACTACTGCTACTAATAAAAATCATCATCATCATCATCATCATCATCGCCCAGACAGGCACCCCCCCGCACACACACGCCGAAAAGGCAAGACGGAGGGGGGAAAACCCGAGCCCGAAAGCCGCCGGGGAGGCAGCGGCCGCCAGCAGACAAAGGGAGCGGGGCCGGCGGCGGGCGGGGAGCGCCGCGGCCGCCCCCCGGGGCCGGGCCAACGCCGGGGCCGCCCCCCCGGGGCCGCCCCCCCCCCCCCCCCCGGGCCGCGGCGGGGCCGGGCCGGGCCAACGCGGCCGGCGGCGCAGCCAATGGAGGGCGCGGGCAGGAGGGCTGCCGCCGGGGGCCGGGGGGCGGCGGGGGGGTCCCCGCCAATCGCGGCGGGCCGGTGGCAGGGAAATACTATTATGCTAATGGTTGTTTTGCTCGCCCTCGCGGGGAGCGGGGTTTAAAAGCCAGGCGGCCGGGGGCAGGGGCTCAGAGGCGGGAGGCAGGGCCGGCCGGAGCGCTGACGGGACGGGACGGGAGGCGAGGAGCGGCGCGGCGCGGCGGTGGGAGTGGGGGGGGGGCACCCACCCCAGCCCACCGCACCCACCCCGCGGCGATGTCCAACGTGCACCTCTCCGGCTCCGCCGCCCTGGAGCGCCTCTCCGCCCGGCGAGCCCTGGGCGGGCACGGCCGCAGCCCCGTCTGCAGGAGCCTCTTCGGGCCGGTGGACCACGAGGAGCTGGGCCGGGAGCTGCGGAACCGCCTGCGGGAGATGGGGGAGGACGACCAGCGCCGCTGGGACTACAACTTCCACACCGACACGCCGCTGCCGGGGCCCGGCCGCCTGCGCTGGGAGGAGGTGGAGGGCGGCGCCGTGCCCGCGTTTTACCGGGAGACGCTGCAGGTGGGGCGGCACCGCGTCCCCCTCCGCCGGGCGCCCCCCGCCCCGCCGCCGCCCCCCGCCGCCGCCGCCGGCGGCAAGGGCCCCGGGGGGGCCCGCCTGAGCCAGGAGAACCGCGCCGCGCCCCGCAGCCGCGGCGTGCGGCCCCGCCGGAGGGGCCCGCCGGCCCGCATCACAGGTGCGTGGAGGGGGGGGGCGGGGGGCTGTGGGGTGTGGGGGGCGGTGGGCGTCCCGCCGCAGCGGCTGACGGACCCCCCCCATTCCCCTCCTCCCCTCCTTTCCGTCCCCCCCCCCCCCCCCCCATCCAGATTTCTTCGCGAGGAGGAAAAGGCCGGCGGAGCCCAAGGCGGCGGCGGAGCGTCCCGCCGGCTGCCCGCCGCCCCCCGCCGCCGCGCCGGCTGAGCAGACCCCCCGCAAGCGGCTCCGCTGAGCCAGGTGAGACGCGCCCCGGGGGCCGCCTTCTGCGTCGTTCTTTTATTTACAGCCCCCCCTCCCCTCCCTCCCTCCCTCCCTCCCTCCTCCACCACCTTTATTTTTCTGATTTTTTTTTTTTTTTTTTTTTGTCTCCTTTTTGTTCCTCCCCAGACTTTTGCACTACGGCACCCACGGGAGAGGCGCGTCGCCCCCGGAGGCACGGCGCCCCGGAGGCGCAGGGGGGCCGGGGCGGGCGGCGCGGCGAGCCGGGCCCCCCCCCTCGCCCGCCCGGACCGGGAGCGAGAGCCGGAGCGGAACCGGAGCGGAGCCGGAGCCGCAGCCGCAGCCCGCCGGCCGCGCCCGGAGCAGTGTTAACGTACAACTGTGCAATGTATTACGTTTTGTATAGAAATGTATTATGCCTAATGTGAGTACACTGGCCAGAAGTGTAAAGCTTTAAAAGTCATTTATATCAAATGTTTAATCTCTGCTGAGCTTTCAGTGCAAAAGGAGAAAAAAAAAAAAAAAAAGGAAAAAGGAAAAAATGAAAAAAGAATGTGTATATTTGTACAAAAGGTTTTTTTAAGAGTTATACTAACTTATATTTCCTATTTATGTCAGAAATGTGGATAACTTTGACATCCAATAGTCTTTTTTTTTTTTTTTTCTTTTGGTTAAGCCAAAGGGCACTATATTTGCTTTTGTTATTTACAAAATGTAAATTTATTTTTATAGTGGGAATTTTTTTTTTTTTGCATTCACAAGATCTAGCTCTGAATCAAAATCTTTTTTAGACTTTACTTGAAGACAAATCTGTTTCAATGGTTCCTGAGCCGGTCTGTACCACTGCCATTGCAAATAATGCCACAACTTCAATAATAAACAAATTTTAAAAAGCCAGGAAACCCCTGCAAGGCTGCTTGGTGTGTGCTGTACTTGTGCCCTCGGGGGTGGGGCGGGCTCGGGTGCTGTAGCCCAGCTTTGCTCGTTGTGGGGGGGAATAGACACAGGGGGGACCCCGGTGCAGGACCCTGCCGTGGGGGATGGCACTTCCACTTCTACGCCAAGCTTGTGTGTAAGTCAGTGGGGAAAGGAGTTGGTTTTCCCTTAAAAACAAGTGTTTCTGAGCACTGCTGGCATTAACTGAGTGTGAGGGGAGCACGCACCCTGAACTTGGCCTCTCAGCCTGTTTTATGATTATTTTGCTATTTTTAACTGTTTCCCTTCTATTTTTTTTTTTTTTTTTTCTTGCTAAAGCCCTATCTGCCTTCCTTGAGGACCTAGCTGTGCTGGGATGGGGGGTGTGACTGGTGGGAGTAGCCAGCCCCTCGGTGGGCTCTGTACTGGGGGTGTGGGGGGGTGCAAAGTCCTCCCACCCCTGCCGTGGGCCCTCAAACCCCCACCCGGAGCTCTGAGCCGTGGCTACTGCAGGGAAACAGTTCCTGGTACCTCTTTGCCCAAGGCCAGCAATGATTTACAGGGCAAAGGCAGCAATTCCAGCTCCCTGTAAAAGAGGGAGAAAAGAAAAACAACAGGCAAAAATAAACCCTCCCAGCAGTCAAAATACCCAGTGTTTTGGCATTAACGCTGTGGTGGCAGGGCTGTCACAACCCCCCACCTGAGGCAGTTTGCGGGGGACACCCTAAAAAGCCCTGGGATCGGCAGGCAGCCTGGCAGGGTCCCCAACCCCGCGCTGCCCAGGGAGGGGGGGCACAGACCGGGTCTGGTCCTGGCTGCAGGTGATGCAGGGATTGGGGTGCTGGGGAACAGGGATGTGGGAGGGGGGTAGGGGTCCTAGAGGTGCGGGGACAGGCTGGATTTGTCCCCTTCAGACCCCACCCTCTCACCTCTGTGGAGCACTACACCCCCACGCTGGACCCAGCAGGTGTGTGGGGGGGGACGAGGACATCACTCCCCAGCCCTATAAACTCTGCAATGATGCTCTTTCACAGAGCAGGGAGGGAGCTGAGAGAATAAGGCTCGGGGTGACTGAGGCTCAGAGTTTATCCTCCTCATCCTCCCCCGGCCCCCGCAGCGCTCCTCTCTGCCCCCCCGTCACAGCCGCCAAGCGCTCCTGGCTGTAAAAGTAACATTGATTACCTCCAGCTCCGTGATCGCTTAATCAGAACGGGATTATTTTACGCACCCGCATCAGTGGCTGCTGACTCAATACGATTTTCCCCCCCTTTGAAAAGAAAAATAGCTTTTCCCTTTCCTTATGAAAGCCAACAATACCCGGAGTGAGGCAGCTGGATCCTCCAGGATTTATGGGCTTTTCTCTCGCTTTCATGAAAGCAGGTGCCTTTGGGACCTCCATTGTCCCAGCCCCCAACTAATAATAGGACTTTCTGCAATGAAAGATCCCCGCTCCGAGCTCCCGAATACCTCGGCCGGAGGAGCCGCCGCCTGCCCCGAGGTGCACGCAGCCCGGCTCGGGAGGAAAGCTCTCACCCCGGGGAGAGTTTAGGCACGGGGCTCTTTATTAAAGCAAATAATTCCAGCTCTCAGGCACCGCCCGAGAGGAGCCGGAGGGTTTCCAGCATCCCGCAGGCCCCTGGCCGTGAGGGCCCGGGGGGGGGGAAGGTGTGCGGCTGCCCCCGCGCCCTGCCCCACCCAGCCCGGCCGGCCCTCCTCGCCCCGGCACAAAGCACACTGCCCCTATTCTTTCGGCCTTTGTAGCCATATGGCAAATCCATGTAGACACAGCCAACATCCATTTATTCAGGCACATAATGTCCCGCAACAGGGAACAATTGGAACTTTGTTTGCTTCTATTATTGATGCGAATGGGCGACAGAGAGAGAGAGAGAGAGAAAAAAATCATTTAACTATAAGAGATATCCAGCTAATTATGAACCATATGTGCCTATAGTTTCAAAGCAATCCAATGAAGTTCATTTTAAATCTAGACTACTTTATTAGTACGGAAGACAGATGTCTCAACAGTACATGCATCAGAGGAAACCATGTAAAGAAGTTCTTGAAATATTTAACTAGGACTCATTCATTGTCAGAGGGGCTTTAAAGTGCCCTTTATCATGAGAATGCATAGGCAGAAGCGGAGGGAAGCTGCCGGTTGTTACCGCCAACCCACTTACCCCTGTGCGGTAAATCCCAAATTCCACTTCGGATTTGAGGACGGGAATATTTTTGGAAAGGATTCAAAATTTCAGGCATCTCGAAGGACCGAGCTTGTCGCTCATTACAGCTACAAAAAGTCAGGTCGTTATTTGAGCCGCCTTAATCCCCGGCTGAAGCCAGCTACGCAATTAGAGGAATAATCTACCCCAAATCACCACTGCTCCCTCTCCCGAGGAGCAGAAACGTGTGTTTGGGGGAGGGCTACTGCTGTGCCTCCCCGGCCCCGAGAGACACCGGGATTGGAACGTTAATGTTGTTGGACCTCCAGAGATCTGTTTCGTATGAGCATCTCTCGGTGCGAATCCTGCGGTGGGTACCTAAAGGGAAAGGCCACTGCAGGAAGACTGGAAGGGAAGGGAAGCTTGGCAGGAGAAAGTCTTTCAGCTTTTTCTTTTTTTTTTTTTTTTTTTTTTAAATGCAATTATCAGCAAACAATCTTGGCAAAAAAGTTAGCGCTATCTTTATGAGCATGGCAACATCTACCAGTAATTAAGCCACTTCAGTTAGATGAATGCAGCATATGGTTGACACACTGGGAATCATTCTCCTTCCTAGCTGCAACTTTTCTTTCTGGGCCAAAACTTGTTCTATTATCACTTAAAATAAACAAAAAGCTGCTTTCCACTTCTTGAGCAAATATTTGTCACTAATGAGCAGGAGGTGTAGGTAACAGGATGGGGAAAACCCCATCATTTTTAAAGAATAATTTCCTACGTTTGGGTACAAAAATGAATTCACATAAATGCCCAATTCACTTGCAACGAGTTGCGATTGCTTGGTAGGATGGTTACACGGGGAGATCCATGTGAAGGATGGACGTGGGGAGGCAGAAATGGAGTTGCCCACGTTTAAGCAGAGAAAGAGATATGAAGAGAAAGAGTGCATGCATATACACAAACACACACACATACATAAATGAAATATCAGGGAGTATAAATTAATTAATCGGGGAGCTGGATTTTTTTTTTTTTTTTGGCTACCTTGTCACCTGTTGCTACAGAATAAACTCACAATGGTTTTCCAGTGCCTTCCCCTCCACTAGCCTGTACCCTCTCAGAAATGTTCTTCTTGACAAGCATTTTTGGAACACAGCAAGCCAAAACACAAACCAAAAGTCTTTTCGTAAAATGAAAGGATGGGATTATATCTGTTATACTGACTCACAGAGAAAAGAGAATCAAGTATGTCCTCTCCCATCACACAAAATCTAGTACTAAAGACCACACAATCTCTTTTGGTGTCAGTAGTGAAATTCACAATGAAAAGAAGTTAATGATTTGGGGGTTTTTTTGTTTTTTTTTTTTTTTAAACCAAGGGGGATTTTTAGCCATATACTTCCATCAAACTTTTGTTGGGACAGATTTGGGGGAAAAAAGGAGAAAGCAAGCTGCTAAACAGATGAGCTGTGTAGAATACAATAGCACTGAAGCAGGCCCTGCTATGAGATTAAAAAAGTAGCTCAAACTCTTTTAAACACAGAACAAACTCAGTTTTGGAGCCACTTTTCCCAATCCTCATGGCTGAGCCTCTGCTCCAGGAAAACCGGTGGCTAGCGGTGGTTGTGCAGCCTCACGTCCACAACCGTGGTGTCATGGGGTCCCAATCTATAGGGTGGGGACAGGGATGCGGGGAGAGGGAACAGGAGGCAAGAACGAGGGGCAGCACCAGAAAACACCTAGGATGGGAAGAACAGGGGGAGCAGAAGCGTGGCTGACCTAGGGTACGCTGGAAGGGGCTGGGCAGAGGGCACCAAACTCTGCCGGTGTGTGCAAGGGGAGGGAGAGAAGGGAACAGGCCACAGCATTGATATCCTGCATTATATATTAATTTCCATTTATATTCTTCACATTCCTTCAGAGGCTGCCTGGCCCCACCACGGTTCTGCTGCCATCAAACACCCATGGAACTCATCTGGTAACATCCCATCCCTCCCCTCAACTCATCTACAGAGGGGTGCTAACGATAATCTGCTATTTTTTTAAACCCGTGGCCCAGGTCAGTGTGGGATCTAAAATGCCCCAGCCCTGCTGAGGAGTCGCAAGGCTTCTCATCACCCCAGGATTACCCACTCTCCCCTGCCAGATTTGCTTTAGCATACCCAGTGCTCCCGCACATGCACTACACTTGCGATAAGAGCAGAGCGAGGAGTGGGAAGGAAACACTCAAGCCTCGGAAGTGCCTGAGCCGCCGGTACAATTGCCGCCCACACCCTTCTTCGCTCACGGTGCATTTTCACAGGCGTGCACACCATTTCCTCCCCCAGGACACAGGCAACCCACTTCATGCAGCGCTTCCCCATGCAGGGTGCTGCTGTGCAGCAAAGGGGAAATTGCTGGGTGAACTCATGCCAGAGAAGCTGAGATGGCAAAGCAAGGGCCTGCATGATGCTTTTGAGCTTAGTCCAATGCCAACAGCTGGATGCAACCTTTGTCAGGCATCTGATCGGAGACACTTGGGTCCGACTTGTGAAGGCACTGAGCATCCACAGCGGCAGCTGTGGTCGCTGAGCACGGGACTCTGCACGTGTTTTCAGCCAGACGAAGCCCAGGGCTTTGAAGGGGACAGCTATAGGGTACCTTGGACCAGCACTCCAAATTAATGATTAGCTCCCATCTTTTTACGTTGGCTCCCCATCATTGAACAGGGATAATAACACTCACCGTTTATATTTCACTCCATGAATGTCTGGAAAGAGCTCGGATACTACCATGAGCGGCACTGTATAAATCAGGCGGGGAAATTAATAAAGTCTTTGAGCAGGGTT